CGCCCCGCCCCCGGAGGCGCCCAGGTGTGGGCGGGGCTCGGCAGCCAGGATGGGCGGCAAGAGCCCGGGTCCACGCACGCCCCAATCACGCAAACAACGCGGAAGCTCTTCCCGGCCCGCGGTCCCAGGCAGAGCTTGGGGCAGGTGTCTGGCGCCGCGCTCCCGGGCCGACTTCCGCAGATGCCGCCAAATCTGATGAGTCTCCCGCCTAGAGAGGAGGCGCTGGCCTGGCCAGCGCGGCCAGCGTCCAGAGGGGCAGTGGGGCCACAGCCTCCCCATCCCCTGTTAGACCCAGGTCGGACGCACAGAGGTCGGGGGGCGGGGCTCATAGCTGGAGGGAGTGGAGCTGGTTGGCCACCGGCCACTCTGGCTGCGGCCAGACCGACAGTTCTTTTGGGGGAAGGGGCCGACCTGAGGTTGCCTGGGACAAAGGCCCTGGGCTCTTTTGTGTGAGGCTCCTTTCTCCCACCAATTCCTGCCCCCAGTGGGGCCCAATGCCTGCCCGAGTGTGGACACAGCCCTCTGCCCCGCCAGCCAGTCCTGCTGTTCCATCGGGAGAACCCAAGTCAGCACCACCGCCAGAGTCTCTCACAGTTTCTATGCTACCTGTGTGGAACAGCAGCAAAAGCCTTCAGAGCCTGTCTGCCCCAATCACACTGGGCCACAAGGGCATCTTTCCACCACAAGCCCGACAAGAGCAGAGGCTGAAAGTCTGAACGAATGAATGGTGAATGAATGAAGATGGGGTGGAGTGGGGCAAAGCAGGAGGGCATGGGTCTTGTGGATCATGTCCGGTGCCTTACTTTTGACCTGGGCGGAGGGAACCATGATCATCATTATATGTGTCCCCAGGGCCCCCTGCAGTGGCTTAGGTGATGGAGGCAGGGGAGAAGGTGAGGCTTCTGTCTTGTGCTTAAGTAAATGGGGGCCCATTGTTGGGTAGCACTCAGCAGGCCCCTCTCCCAGGTTCTCTGGGGTCTCCCCTGCTTCCTCCTCCCCACCCCACCCCCTCAGTCAGCTCAGGCCCCAGTGAGGTCCACGTGTCCCGGAGTGCCATCCACTGACTTGTGGACACACTCACAGGGCAGCAATGCCGATAATAGCCACCGACTGCCATACCAGGCTGGAGAGGGACTGTGGGAGCCTCCCCCAGGGTTGGTTGGGGGTGTTGGGCTGAGTGGGTGACCATGGCAGGCCATGTTAATCACTCTGTGTCCTCTGGGCCTGCTGAGGTTAGCTGGGCAGTAGCTCGACCTCTCACAGCTGCTCCTTCAGGCTGGACCAGGAGGTGGGCCCAGGGTTCACTTGGGGCCCTGGTCTGGTGTCTCCCAGGAAGCTCCTGGTAACAAACAGCCCCTCCCCTCTGAGTGCTAGTATCCATGGCAACACTGCGGAGCCTTTCTCTCCCCAAGCCTGCTTGGATTTCAGGCCTCAGGTGAATGTTGGGGGAGGACCCTGGGTCTGACTGGCAGAGGACTAGCACCTCTGAGGGCCCTTGCTCTAGGCTGAGGGGTAGGAGCTCGGGCCCTAGAGGGCCAGGGTGACAGGGAGGAGACAACAGGGAATGTGTGAATACCCAGGTGACATGGAGCCTGGTGGGGGGTGACCTGCTGTCCTGGCCTGGTCAGAAACATGCAGATGTGGACACCCACGTAACTGGCAGTTTGCTGTACCGTGGGGCACACACGCGCACACGCGCACGCACACACACACACACACACACACCCCTTCTTGGAGGGTGATGCCCTGTGAGCCAGCGGCACACTTTGGGGCTGTCGTACACACGCATGTGTAAGGAGAGCCCTGCAGGGGTGCCCACACACAGGACGCAGGGCAGACAGCCCCACCACCCCTCCTCTCAGCTCCCCCAAGAACATCAAGAATGGCCCCCGAGTCTTGTCAGGAGACTGAAGGAGCCGAGAAGGAGGCTCTCCCAGTCCTGGTGGACCGAGAACCTGTCAGTGGCCACATAGGGCCTCCAGCTGGTGCACCTGCTGACCCGGTGGCTCCTGCGCGCCCTCAGGACACCAAATGCAGCTCCACTAGGGTGGTCTTCTCCATCAACCTGCAGTAAGGAGGGGAGGGGGTGGTCAGCCACTCGGGCCAGGCCAGCCAGAGAGCAGGGTCCGATCAAGAGGAAGGGGCGCTGGCATTCCAGGTTGGCCCCGGAGTCCCTGGACCCACACACTCTGCGGCTGCTGTGGGGGCAGCGGGAGCTGGAGATCCAGGCCCTGCGGTGGGCCATCCAGAAACCCCGGAATGGCCGGCACTACCATATCCTGCGGGAGGTGGCTGGGCTTCCACCTGAGAGGTCAGCAGTGAAGCCCTAGTCCTCCAGCCCCACCCAGTCCCTGCCCTGGCCCAACTCCTGGTTTATGTCTGACTCCAACCTCAACTGCTGAGCCCCATTCCAGCCTGACCCCAGCCCAGACCTGGACTCTAGCCCCAGTCCTTACCTGACCCTAATCCCCAACCTAACCCTGAAGAAGTCACTATACTGTAAACCCACCTAGACCCGAACTCTGAGCATTCCGGTGGGTACTAAACCCAACCTAGACTCCACCTCTGACTCAGACCTCTTCAGAGTCTGACAGCTTGACCCAGTCACAGTCTGTGCCCTCAGAACCCTAATGACAGTGAGGAGGAGTTCCTCCTTCTCTCCTCCTTGGCTGCTGGGTGGGTGGGGGGTGGGCGCTGAGATTGCCCCTTCCCCCAGGAGCTCACGCAGTCAGGAAAAGTTCCTGCAAAATCAGGTCCAAAAGCTGACTCTGCAGTTGAAAGAGCAGAAGGAACAGGCCCAGCTGGTAAGGGCTGTAGGGGAATCCAGGAGTTGGGTGTGGGACCCAAGCTGGGGTGAGGGTCAGGGGCCAGGCAGGGGTAGCCTTGGGGGCCAGAGTCTGGAGAAGACCCCACCCACCAATGGGCTGTCCTGGAGCAGGAGAAGGCACGCCTGGAGGAGCGGCTGCTGCAGATGCGAAACATGCTGCAGCAGATGGAGGCCGAGTTGCAGGCCTTCCGGAAGTCCTGCCTCCTGCAGCTGGCCCGCTCCTCCTGGGTGGGCCGCATACTGAGATCTTCAACGGGCAGTGTGGAGGTGAGCCTGTGCCCCTGGGGCCCTGCCCTACTCAGCCCGCCCTCCTTGGTTTTCCCTGGGACAGCCAGCATGTCCCCTTCAGACTGGTGCTGCTGGGGGGCCCTGGCTGCTCTGGGACTGGGACTACAAGCGCTGTGGTCCCACCCACCTGACACTTGGCAATTGTGTGCCTCAGGTGCTAGTGAGGTCAAAGTGGAGAGTTGTGTTGGGTGGAGGGGTGCCCTTTCCCCCAAGCCCCTGCTCAGTGGCCTCCTGTCCCCTTTTGCAGGTGGTGACGGCAGAGACCCTGATGGACCCCAGCGACCTCTCTGAGAGCGATCAGGCCCCCACTGCTGGGGAGGTAAGCAAGCCCTCCAAGTGTGTTCATGGCTCTGCCATCCTGTGGGGGCAGGGGGGGCAGTGCCACATATCTGTTGCTTTTTGGCAAGAGTTTCCGGCTGGAGGATGTGGACTGGAACAGCATCGCTCACCAGTACCCCAACCTCTTCACCAACATCAAGTCCAACTCAGATCAAAAGTAACTGCACTGTGTGGGGACCCCCCAGGGGCAAGGAGAGGGCTCGCCTTGGCAGGTGTGGACCACAATCCCAGTTCTACCCTTTAGTGTCCCTGGACAGGTCACTTAAACCTTCCAAGCATCATTCTCTGAGCTGTATGATGGGTTAGGGATGAAGGGAAAAGGCTCTGGGGCCATCTCTGTCCAGCCATGAGCCCTTTCCCCATGCAAGGTCCTCAGGACTGGGACCACAGCTTGGTGTGCTCTGCCCACCTTGGGGAGGTTGGGTGGGGGTGGGCTGGTGTCCAGGAGCCAGAGCCGCGGACAGCAAGCTGATCTTGGCCCACAGGCGCCCTTGGGCCCCACCGCCCCCACAGCTCCCACCAGCCACACTATCTGACCAGCGGAGCTCGGAGCTGTGCTGTCGGCGCAGGGAACAGCGTCTCAAGAGTGTACAGTGGAGCTCCCTGCCCTTGGTTGGCAACAGCAGTTCAGGGAGCACTGGCTCCGAATCCAGCAGCTGCCAGCTGGCTGCGTGTAATTGCGTGCAGAAAGTGACAGGGGACCATCCCCAGGCACCAGGCTGCACTTCTGAGCAGATGGAAGCACAGGCATGGAGCCTTTGCGAGGACAGTCAGGCAATATCTGAAGGTGAAGTGGGATGGGTCTCCTCTGGTTGCTCCCCCGTCCCCAGGCCTGTGATTTCTGCCCAAAGCTATAAAGGACATCCCCCAGCCTCCAGGCCTTCATAGTAGCCAGGTGCCAGGCAGTTGAGGGCCTCTCCAGCCCCATCCCTAGGGGTTAGGGTGGTCTTGGAGGACTCCTGCCATTGCCTTGGTGCTCTGGCTCAAATCCATCCCCCCCACCAACAAGTACAGCAAGCTACGTCTCTGCTTCCATCAGCCACCACGGTCCAGCTATCCCTCCTGCCTAGGATCTGACCCCCAGCACTGCTCTTCTGCCACCTGGACCCTCAGGGTGCTGCAGGCCAGGTGTGGTCTCACAGGAGATGTCCCCAGTGGATGCTCCACTGGGGCCGGCCCCCCTCCCCCCCCAGACCGGCCTTCTCTCTGTAGATCTCCGGAAAACCCACTGGGGCCAGCAGGGCAAGACCGTCCAGGTGCTGGAGTCCAGTGAGGATCCCCACCCCCAGGAGCCCCGGCGCTGTCTCAGGTGAGAAGGGGACCCCGCCCACCTCCAGGGGCTGGGAGCAGGTCTCCTAGTGGGACCAGGGCTGGAGTGGCAAAACTTGTCTGCACGGTGCTGCTGCCCCAGCCCCACCGGCTCCTGCCTGAAGATCGTGGCCGTGAGCCACCGCCAGAGGTTCGTGCGCATCCTCAACCAGTCGCTGGAGGAGACCGCCGACCTGAGTGGCTTCGTGCTGCGGCAGCTGGTGCGCGACTTCCCTGTGTGCATGTACCGCTTCCCGCCTGGCACCCTGCTGGCGCCACAGCACCACATCACGGTGCGTTTGGCTCCTCGCGCC